TCAAGAAAATTTACCTACCTTGGCCTGGGCGACCTGGCAGTTTTCGGCTCACGTGCAAATCATAGAACGTCTTTCTTTTCATAGAGACCATTGTCCCGTGATTTCCTTGGCAAATAGTCTGGAATCATTCGTATGTGAAAATATATAATACATACAGTCTGGTTACTTGTCACCTGTGAAATCTTAGGTTCGCACTCCGCAGTTGGATTGATGGATTCCTACTACTACTGCTGCTGTTGGTGCTACCCGCACCGCTTTTGACTCAACAAAACAGCGAAACCGCTGTTGCGTGCCTGCTTGCCGTCCTGTTTGCGTTTCCATTACTAAGTGCCTGACGAAATCCATCGTGTGAATTGAAATCTGTCCGTACCGGATAAGAACCAAATAGACCAGTGACGCACCCAAACTTTTTAGTGCGATTTTGATTTTGATTGAAGCACAATAAGAGATCTTCCGAGCATAATGATGCTCTGAACAATATTTTGCGTTGAACACAAGACTATGACTCATTGCCGCTTGTTCGCCGGCTTTAAAAATTTGTCTCATCACTAGTCTAGGTGACATCTTTAGTGTTTGTGTTGCGGATAAACGCGACTCCTCTCTCTTTCTCTTCTGTCACTCCCAGCTGTTCGTATGATTGAATAATATTCAAACACACACTCACCGTGAGAGAGACGCCACATGGACACGTACATATCTGTATATCTTAAGTTAGCCCATAGTGAGTTGAGTTGATTAATATGGGGTTGGTGATAAGACTTTATCCGCATTGATCCTCGGGCGTTGTATGATCCAGATCAAGGACAAACCCAGTAAAGTTGGCGTGATTTTGGGTTTCAATGGGAACGGGTAATACATGCCAGTGCGTGATGGGACAATGTCTGCTTTGTGGGAATGAGGTCGGGAACTCATTGACGATTCGGGTGTACGTCGAAAATTGACAATTACCCGAAGAAATATGCTGCCTCATTGATTGCAATTTCTGTTCTGCAGCGTTACTCGTTACGCTATCTTGTGTGCCTCTTGTTAAGCAAGGGGGAGGGATGCGCACAGTTCGAAACGAAAAGGGGTTCTA